CATTTTATATACTAATTTTCATCCAATACAAGGCTCAAGAGCCAATCAATGTAGAGGGTTACTGTGTAGTACTGTATGAGGGTAAGAAAAAGCAAGAAGTGAAGTTCATGAGGTTATGCAAGAAAGATAACAGTTAACCCTAGATCTGAAGAGGTCAAGATTGTGGTGATTGGGAAACATTCTGATGGGAGTCTGTTCCACAAAGCAGCAGTTCTTAAGAAGAAGTTGTCCGAATTGAACTTCCTCCTTACTAATGAAATATGAAGGGAATAGGAATGGTTTATCCTTGTGTATGTGGCATGGAAATGTCCAGTGGCAAAAGTCAGGGATGGTGGGTTCAAGGAATATAACTCATCAGAACACATGTTATAGAAATAGCGATAATGTAGTGAGAGGCTCACAGCATTGAGAAAGGTAAAGGGGTTGTAAAGTGGAAAATAATTCATCACCCATAAGGCTGTGTAGATGCTTTTGAACTCTGTGAAGACAGATATGACAGTAATACTCCATTTTTGGTCTGATCTGGCTCTTGTAAAAATAGAGTATAACGGGTAGGTAGGGGGAGTCAGATACTTATTGGTACTGTACAATAAACCAACCATTTTTTTAGAATCTTTAATGATGAATCTTATAGTGATTTTCCAAGCATATCTTAGATGTGGCACAAGGTTAAAAGTATAGGACACGCAGTGAGGATTGAACTCACCATTCAGTCATAATTGTTCTAGCAAGACAAGCTTGCTAACCATTACACTACCTTGAGGTGTGCCCAAATGATGGATCTTATATATGAGTTCCACTTGAGGTCTGGGGGCGAGCTTGAGTCCCAATAGATGTTCAAGGTAAGGAGCCTTCTTGAGAGAACACCATCCATCATGAGGGTTCAGGGTCTGCTCTGTAGCGGGGAAACATTATTAGTTTGACTTTGAATTTTACAAGCCAGTCTTTCCCCCATTGAGCCACATTAGCTGTAACGGTCAGGATTTTTGGAGCTAAGGAATGTTTTTACAGCCCACTTGATTAGATGTGTGTCCTGAGCCAACTAAGCAAAGAACCAACATGTCACATATATTCACTTACCCACCATTGCTTCCTAGATAATCTTTAAAATGATATATTGGTGACTAATTCTACTTGTCATTCTGTCACATATGAGCAATGTTTCGGTTGATAAATTTTAAATATATTTTAAATTATTTATTTTATGTCTACTTCTTGAAAAAATGTTATATTTAAAATGTAAATGTTACTTTAAAAAATGTAAACTCACTGCTATTTTTTCTGCTAACTTATGACTGAATTTTGATGAGGCAGATATATATTGTTTTATGCAAACATGATGAATATTAAAAAAATATTTATTGAGAGAAGCATTGCTTATATATGACAATTTGAATTAAAAATAAACACAGATGAAATGTTTATTAAAATGTGATTTTAAAAATTTGTTATTCAAATGCTACCACTCTTGTTAATGCAAAATGTTAGTAAAAGTACATGGGAGCAAGGCTCCAATTTCTCAAATATTTTCATTAAATTTTATGAAAAATAATAGGGGGTTCAGTTAACAAGGGTTCAATTTTCTATATAAATTCATTGTAAATTGATGGGCACATGGCCAAGTGGTTAAAACATTCAATTACTGACCATGAGACCTGGGTTTGAATCTCACCAGGGTCGATTTGTCAGGAAAGTGATTTCTTGATTTTATTGGTCTGGGGGAGGTGATCCCAGCATTCGGAACCTTTAGAAAGTACCTGAAAAGCACGTCATGGTTTGAACCAAGCCTTGTGAGTGAAATTGTGTAGATGGGACGGACTCCTGGGAGTCATTGATAATTGTGCTAGCATGAAGTCACAAGTTATTGTGACTGAGGGTTTGAGTGTGCTGGCCTTGTTCAAACTGCTGATAATGCTAAATAATGTGCTCTCTCCCAGAAATTGTAACTAAGGTCTGCTCAGCATGGTTGCAGTATAAAACCCACAGATGGGCTCTGTGGGTGTTGAACAAACACAAACGTGCCTGAGCAGGCGTCTGCAACAGGGATTGGTTTAGAAAACTTAACCCTCACGGGACATTGAGGGCAAGAGAGTTAGACAAAGACAGCAAACCACTTACCAGATGAGCTTGTGTGAATAGACGGCATAATGGGGAGTGGGGGGGGGTCTTAACAAAAGGAGAAAAACTGTTAAAGGCCATATGAGATAGAAAGTTGTGGAAAGCCATGATCATTTATACCCTGAAGACCAAAAAACTGTTAAGCGCCACATGAGACAGAAAGTTGTGAAGAGCCATGATCACTTATATCCTGAAGGAGAGTGGAGGTCTTAGCAAAAGGGAGAAAAGCTACTGAGAGCTATATGAGATAGAAAGTTGTGGAGAGTCATGATCATTTATATCCTGAAGAGGGGTAGGGATCGTGGCAAAGACAGAAAAACTGCTAAGAGCCATATGAGACAGAAAGTTGTGGAGAGCCATGATCGCTTATTTCCTGAAGGAGAGTGGAGTAGAAAAGGGAGAAAAGCTACCGAGAGCTATATGAGATAGAAAGTTGTGGAGAGTCATGATCATTTATATCCTGAAGAGGGGCAGGGATCGTGGTAAAAACAGAAAATATATATCCTGAAGGGATGTAGTACATAGAAGAAGAAGAATCCATTTCATGGCAACCGTTTTTTTTCCTTCTTCTCCTCCTTTTCTGGCAAGACACTTATTGACTCTCTCTTTCTCTTGTCTATTTTCTTATGTAGCTAACAATTAAAATTCTTTATAATTGCCTGGATTCAGGCAAGCAGCACTTCAAGAGGCAGTATGTCCATCCTGTGTGATAATCACAGATGTTTCTTTATGGGAGCAGGAAGACTACATATGAAAATGCATGCTATTCCACAATCCAACATACCTCCAAAATGTTCTGCCAATTTCTTTAAATAAACAGTTTTATCCAGGTGCAGATTATGCACTTCAAACTGCTTGTATGCTGTGGAGCAGTTAGTAGCAAAAGCAGTACATAATGCATCCTTGATTTGGGCTGCGTCAGATTTTTCCTCTTGGTCAATTGAAGGGGAATGATACACATTTAAGCCTCTTTACCCCATATTGGTCACACAGCAGTTTCACTTTCTCTAACCACTCCACTATGGACCCAGAGCCGTCAAACCCAGGAATCAGCTTGAGGTTGAACTGGCTGTCCATCTTCTAGATGAAATCACTTATTTGTTGTTGGTTGGTTGATTTTGTTTAGTGGCATATCAACACCTCTATGGATTATTTAATGCTGAAATCTAAATATTTTGAACTCAATTTTATGGCTTCAACAAAATGTATGTTGAACACAATTGTGTGCCTTCAAATAAATATATTTTGAATGCAATTGCATGCCTTTAACTACAGATAAAATATATTGTTGGTCATTTTGCTATAAAATGTATTCTTGGTATTTCTACTATAAATAGGTATTGCTGGTAATTTTTTTTTAATATAAAAATGTATTGCTGGTATTTTTACTATAAATTGTATTTTTATACTTTCATCATGTTTTGTTTTTTTGTTGCCCATAGCTGTAACTCTAACAGGTGATACCACCCTAGGTCAGGGTGGACCTGGAAACAACAGTAATTAAGAGGTGGTTCCACGCTCCTCAAAACCTCCAATTTTCCCTTGCTGCTAGATGTAGTTTATCGTCATGCCCAGGACTGGCTTATTCATCACAGAATTATTCACAATAAAAAATTGTAAAGGGAATACAATCTGTAATTTTAAGATGAGGCATAACAATTTGAGAAGTTGTTTGGACAAGTGATTCCATTCGTTGTCTACAAGACTGTGCAAATGATTTTGAACTCTGTCAAGGCTGGAAAGAGAGGATTGGGCAGCCCATATATGGCAGGGACAGGTTGAACATCATTGGGATATAGCTGCAGATTTACCAATTCAGGATTGTAAATATATATTATTTTTGGGTTTTAGGTTTTTTTAGACTTCATATTATTGCAGGATACAATAAGAACTTTGTTTGGAAGCATTAACATTTGTTTTATTTTCTGTTTTAAGCTTTGTTCTATCTTTGATAACACAGAATATATATATATATATATATATATATATATATATATATATATATATATATATATGGTGGACTCTCCTGTCATATTTGACGTATGAGATCAAGCAGCTCAGACCAGGAACCAACAGCCCAGACACCAGCACATATGATTTGATTATAGTGGTGAAGGCTTTGTGCAGAATCAACCACACTTTTTGAAGGGCTGAATACAGAGACCTGGTGCACTGCAGGTTTTGAATTCAGAGTTGTACTTCTCCTAGACCAGTTGCCATCCAAGGCTATAGAACCCAGTCTTTTCTGCTATTTGCCCATAGCTGGAGGGAGAAGAAGAGGATTAATACCTTTCCCAAGGGTATTAGCATGTAAGTGAATGTAATGGCTTTGACTGAAATGCAGAACTTGGCTCTCTGATTTCTCAATCCGAGCTGCTATCTGCTACTCCACCGTGCCTCCAAATATATATATATATATATATATATATATATATATATATATATGTGTGTGTGTGTGTGTGTGTGTGTGTGTGTACATGTGTGTGTGTGTGTGTGTGTGTGGAATGAGCAGGTAAGATTATGTTTACACATGGTTTGTTTATGGATGATTTCTGTTATCAGGCAATTTCTGTGGCTCAGCAGTGGCCTGGCCCTAAGGGTGCTGGTTTAAAGAATTTGAACTGTAATATATTGAGTGATATATTTTCTAAATCTTATCAGCCCATTGCATGATATTTAAATCCAGATTGTAAGAATTATTTTTGAGATAATAATAATTTAGTGATACAAGTCTTAATAATTACCCCATATTTAGGAGGAGAAGAGGTGGATTTATACCTTTCCCAAGGGTATTTGCATGCAAGTGAATATAATGAACCAAACAAGAATTGGAACTTGGATCTCCTACTAACAATTCTGAGCCACCACCTACACATCCAAGTTTGCAGTGCCTGGTATTCCCAAGCAGTCACCCATCTAGGTACTGACCAGGCTCAATGTTACTTAACTTAGGTGATCATAAGGGAATGAGATATGGCCATAAGCTGAACTGTAATATTTTGAAGACATAGATTGTATTTAGATGTGTACATGAAATAAACCTTAGGGTAAGGGTCTGAAAAAAAAGAAAATGCTTTTGATTTTGGTAATTAAGGGAATGTCTTTTGTTGTACAGAAATAAACAGGAGGAAAAGAATATCAAGGGATATTCATGATAAGATTAAGCTAATCAGGTGTGAGTTTGATTTAAAATACCTGCTACTTTAATAAATAATTCAGAAATTTAATTTGATGCAGAAAATTTGGTCACCCAGGTTTTTTTTATATTAAAAATCCAAATGTCTGAATTCAAAACAATGATAAAATTTTAAAAAAAGTAAACATCAGTTTGTTGTTGGTAAGACGATAAACTACATCTGCATCCTGGGTAAGACAATATATTACGTTCAACAGCAAAGCTTCTGATCAGGAGGTTTTGAGGAGCATGGAACTACCTCTTATTGCTGGTGTTTCCAGGTCCACCCTGACCTGAGGTGGTAGCACCTGTTAGGGCCCCAGCTATGGGCAAATAGTTAACCCCCAAACTGGGGTCAAAACACTATGAAAGTGTAAAAATAGGTTTTAATACCAGCAATACATTTTTGTAAAAGGTTGTTACCAGCAATAAATTATTACCAGCAATACATTTTTGAAGAAAAAAATATTACCAGCAATACATTTTTGAAAAAAAAATATTACCAGCAATAAAAAATCTTGTCAGCATTAAATAACCCATAGAGATTGATATGCCATAAAAAAACAACAAACCAAACCAAAACATTAGTATGTTTGTTAAATAAATAATTTGTATTTACAAGCATATGTACATGAATTCAAAAGAGTCAAAAAGGACTAAAAATAATCTTTTTTTGAGTTAAAGTCTTTGGGTAGTTGCTTCACAGGTAAAATCTATGGTTTAAAAAATCTTTTAGTAGTTTGTCCATAGAAAAATCTAGTTTAGAAGAGACTTTTGGTATTTGGTCTACAATAAAAGCTGCTGTTGAAAATACTTTGATTGTCAGAGAATATTTACTGACCATCTCTGCTGGTGTTGTTGAAAGTGATTCATTTGAAGTCACCAACACATGTTTCTTCCAGCATGCACTGGTGGGGAAGGAAAATCTATGTAACTTCCTCTTGTATTTGAATGGCTTGGATATAGCTGCATCTTTGCGAAAGTAGGGTTGAGAAAAAAATAGGGTTTTACTTTTCTTTGATTGAGCAAATATTTCACATAGTGATGTTAATTTCTAACCAATAGACACTTTGATTTAATCGGTGTGTTTTATATTGTGGAATCTTTTTGACATGCGGTGAGACGGAAAAGTACTAGGAAGAGGAAAAGAGGAACTGAGCAAAATTTCATGGAAAAATTAGCTCAGAGGGAGGTGTTGTAATGGAATGTCCCACACTCCTTATCGCCTATGTGAACTGACTATATCAGTAGCTATATATGAGCACAGGATATACCTGGGGGCTTGCTTCAGGAATTACTAGCCTGCCACCAAATTCCCTGTCTTTCAGTAGTGTATTCTCTTTGTGCGTGTTGCTGTTTCTTCACTTGAGTACCACCTTTGTCTGTAACTTTTTTAGGGATACAACAGCATGTTGGTAAATATTGCCTGTTATTGGGTAGAAAATAAGTTTGGGTGTGATTTAATATGGTATGGTTGTGGGTATGTAATTGTATTGGAAATAAGGTCTATTTTCTATAGAATGTGTGGTCATTAACAAGAAATAATCCAAGTTGAAAGCTATGTATTAAGGACAGGTGCAGAAATTTAACTATAGTCTGTTACTACCTAGTGTCATGACAGACAAGCAAAGGCAGGAGAGAAATTTAAAGTTACATAGGAATAATTTAAGATTCTGTTCAGAAACTAAGCAAAGTAATAAGAAATAGGAAAATGTCATTGGAAACAAAGAAAATAGTGATAAACTGCTATGTAATACCTGATCTAACATTCTCCACTGACATAAAGTGAAACAATTATATTGAATCAATTGCTTGGTCTACTGCTAGGAAAGTTGGTTCACTGTGTTGTACTAGTGTCATGGGTCCTTACCTATAACTACAGAATGAACTCTTCCTAACACTATGTATACTACGCCTCTCAAGAGAGAGGGTCGAATCGAGTCAAACTGATAGTAGTTGACTCCAAACCAGACTGACTGTCATACTAACACCTTCCACATCTTGTATTATTATTTCGTGTAATATACCTTCGTTATTTCTACTCTTGTGTTTGTGTTGTTCTTCCTTGGTCCTAACCTGAACCATAACAACTACACAATTTTTTCTCTCCAGAATCTATCTTGCAACTTTATAAGTCTATCATTCATCTGTGCATCAAATATTGCTGTCGCATCTGGTTTGATGCTTCTACTATGTTTCTAGACATTCTTGACAGAATCTAAAGAAAAATCTGTTGTGTTATGAGTCCTTACCTGTCATCTCTGCTTCAATCACTTTCTCATCACCATAAGGTAGCTTTCCTCTGCCTTTTCTATAAACATTTTAACAGCAATTGTTCTGATGAGGTTTCCTCTTTGGTACCTCGACTTCATGAATTTAAGTGCAGTGCCAGATTGGCAGCTAGGTCTTACCGTTTTACTTTTGAAATTGCTAGATGTAAGCATAAGTTGCATTTCTCACTTACAGAACTCTCGTCTGATTTCTTGCTTCCCAGTCAACTTTAATGTCAATTGTTATCTTCTGTCTTCTTAATTCATGCTATTTTATTATTCGCTCTCCTTAAAAATGTTTTCTTTTTCTCATATTCTTTCACACTCAGTATTGTCTTGTATCTCAGTGGCTTTATTGCCTCACTTGGTGATATGATTTTTAGAAAATGTCACAATAATTGGCATGGAAACTAGAATTGACAAAACAAGATTTAATTTCATCTATGCTTCTTTCAGCTCAATTCATTCTAATGTCATTGGTTTTTTTTGAATGCATTGACTATCATGTTTGACACAGAAGACAGTGGATGAATGAATACATGGACAGACTTACATGTCTATACTTATATGCCAAAGCAGTAGCTGCTAAAAGCTATTATACTCAAAGTCAACGTTGGTAGAGTCCACTCAGTAAAAACAATGTAGTTTATAAATACTCTTATACTTTGAGAAACTGTATCTCTAAAATTAATAAAAGAAAAACTATATTAAGTTCTGGTATTGGTTACATGACCATCACACTCTCTCACATCTGGTAGGAATGGTCTTAAGTTGTCTGAATTTCTTGGATTAAGTCTTAACAATTATTATTCACTTTTTTAGTCATATTTCTTTCATTTTATTTCTCTTGCTTTTACACCTAGTATATATATATATATATATATATATATATATATATATATATATATATATATATATATATATAGATAGATAGATAGATAGATAGATAGATAATATTAGTTGTCAATATATATATATATATATTTCCAAGATGATAAAATCAGGTAGAGTTCTATGTACAAGACAAAGCAAGGATATAATATAAAAGGCTCAAACACTAATATTCGATGGTTATAATTTATTATATTGGAATTGTAATCACAATCAAATTCATCAGACCTACAAATTCAAAAAGAAATCAGAAAATATAACTCTTGGTATAAAGAACACTATTTTATAAAAACCAAAATTTTTATACCTGGAGTTAATACCTGGAGTTATATTTTCAGTCGTGGCCAAGTTGTGGACCAAATTTGTGACTCCAAAGGTCTTAAGATAATGTCTACTTGTACCTAGCCTAACACTAAACTGTATGGAAAACCACATGTTTTATAGATATTACAAGTAAATCATTATATATTTTTAGATAAATAAACATTCTCCCTCAGCAGTAGCAAGACTCAGAGTTTGATGCAAAACACAATCCTGGTGAAGGGTAATAAGTGTATTTATTAATATATACTTAATAGCTCTTGTATTGAGCATTATATTATTAACAGCAGCACTTTATGTACAATATTATATATATATATATATATATATATATATATGGAAATAAATGAAAGGCTTAAAAACTAATATTCCGTGGTTATAGTTTATTACATTGGAATTGTAATCACAATCCAATTCATCAGACCTACAAATTCAAAAAGAAATTGGAAAATATAACTCCAGGTATAAAAAACAAAATTTCAGTCTCTACATATATAATTTTAATTTGCTCACTGTTAGGGATAGAGCATTCATCTTAGTCAGGAGATCACATTGAAACATAAAACATGTAGTGTTATTTGCATGTTTATATATATATATATATATATATATATATATGAAAAAGAGTGTTCTAATTATACCAATAATGTGTCTCTCCTATACTATCAAATATATATTCCAGACAATGTAAATAAATCTAAAAGTCATGTCTGTGTACCTAATCAGTATTTGATTGATTAATTCGCTTTCTATGGCTTATCAACCCATTGTAGCTTACTTAAGGCCAGAAAATATTTTTAGATTGTAAGAATTTTTTTTGTGAGAATAATGGTTTAGTGATACAAGACTTACTAATTCATCCATAGCTGGGGGGGGGGAAGAGGCAGATTCATACCTTATAAGAATTTGATGAACAAACAAGAAATTATAATCTTGGAATAAAGTGGGGTATGTCAATCAATATATAAACTGATCCCTCACTTTTTGGCCACAGCAGTTTCTATACATTTATATTCCAGAGAATGTAAATAAATCTAAAAGATATGCCTATGTAGCTAATCAGGATTTGATTGATTTGTTTTCTACAGCTTATTAACCCTTTTCAGGTTATTTAAAGCCAGAAAATATTTTTAGATTTTAAAATTTTTTTATTTTTTGGAGATAATAATGGTTTAGTGAAACAAGTCTTACTAATTAACCCATAACTGGGGAGAGAAGAAGTGGATTCATACCTTTCCCAAGGTATGTAAGTGAATATAACGTATCCAATGAATACACAATGCACTATGAAAAACAAAAAAAAATATTGTA